CTATCTATCTATCTATCTATCTATCTATCTATCTATCTATCTATCTATCTATCTCTATCTGGTTCAGTCTCTGGATTCTTCAGATCAGAAATAGAAAAAGCTCTTACCTTACTCTTTCAAGGCATGTTATCCAACTCTTACTATCCATGGTAAGTCTTGATTATCGCATAATACTCTGTCAGTTTTCACATTTGCTTGATAACAATGTTTTTAATTTCCATGATTCGTTCATAGTCCCAATCTATTTATCAATGACTCAGTCAATTCAGCTGCAAGGCTTGCATTTTTATGTATGATTAAGCCATTGCTGAATATAATTTGAGTTATTTCCAAATAATCCTTGATTTGATTGTAAGAAGCACCATTTTCTACAACCAATGCATTCAGCATACTTTTTTAAGTTCTTGTTTTTGTTTTACTTTTCATGTGCAAAAAGATGGATCAAGATTTAGATTGAATGAAGTTTCATTAATCAAAATATGAGAACCAGTTTGGGGTAGTGATTAAGGTACCAGGAAAACATGGAAACTGTGAGTTCTAGTCCCACCTTAGGCACAAAGCCAGCTGGGTAATTTTGGGCCAGTCACTGTCTCTCAGCCCTAGGAAGAAGGCAATGGCAAACCACTTCAGAAAAAACATTGCCAAGTAAAATGCAGGAATTAGGCTAGGCAGTTGCCAGGAATCAACACTGACTTGAAGGCACACACAATGTGCACACTCCCACCTGTAGCACCAAAGACTGCAGGTGGCATGTGTGCTACCAAAGCTGCTAACTAGTTCATACCTTCCTCATCTTACTAAAAAGCATTATGTGAAAGTCTTGATTGACTATACCCATGATAGACCATGGAGGTCAATCTGTTTGGATCCATCTGTAATCTGTCAGTCTGTTTGGATTGATCTGTAATGACCATGACATGAAGTCACATGACATGTAATGATCAGGACCAGGACCATGAAGATTGTGACTTGAAATGTAAAAGCAGTAAATGCTAAAGAGTGTGAGTTAACAAATGAAAAGAAAGGAAGGAAAAGAGATGTGTCATGGGTCTGTAAAATCAAGCAAAAGGGAAAGGATGTAACCAATCCGAATGAAGATGATCTTGTGGAAATGAGTTAATGAAAACATATGGGGAAGTGAAGATTTAAGTTTAATTATGAAATGAAAGGGCTAACACATCAGAAAGTTAAAAACTGGTGTCATCTAGTTATTGTGTATAGATAGATATTGGTGTTATCTTGCGGTATATCCTTTGCTATGTCTTATCTCATACTTTACTATTTCTTACTCCTTTTCTGCACTCATCGAGGCATCAGTGCACAAACTCTCCCCAAAACTCTTGGTGTGCCTCCCCACAGCCTCTTAGCTGCTATTAATTTTCAGTAAGCAAGGTAAACAAAACATAGTGATTTTAAGTCTGGATAAACTGGGAGAGGGTGGATGTAGGGTTAAAATAATTTATAAAACACACTGGATGTGATTTAAGAAAAATGAGGTTTAATCCATGAACCAAACTGCTATATAACTATATATGATTTATATGATTTTTGTTGTATTAGTGGATGGATACACCCATGTATTAGCCACCAAACTGGCTAATATTTGCTGTCAATTATATATCCTCTCCATAAACAGGTCAAATGTATTTAGAACATTTAAAGTTCAACTCAGGCTAGGCTCTCTGGTTGCCGTGAATTCCATGGGATTTATGCCAGTAATATGACTAACATGTTCTTTGTTATTAATGGGGATAAAAAGTGAAATCCTACCATCTATCCTTGCCTTCATGAATAATGCTCTTTCAGAAGAAAACTGCATTGTAAGCTGTAGTAAAATGCTTAATTATGTTGATAATTTATGATAATTATTGGATATAGGACATTTCTATACCCCCGGCACACTTCTATTTCCGAATCCCTCAAAAGCAGTTTGAAGATGATTTATGTTCATTTTTAAATCTTCAAACCTGAAAATGCTGTGAACAAGTAACAAAAATAATTGAGCTTCCCCAACAAAGCTGCTTCAGATCCTACAATAACAAAACCTCCTCTTAGTCCATGCTAAAGGAGAATAAAATAAGTAGCTTTCATCCCATCACCATCGTCACCTTTACATTATGAAATGTTCATTCATCCTAGCAGCTACTACAAAGAGGAGCTCAAAACCAGGAGACTGAGAGTTTGAGGCCTCCCATAGACATGAAAGCCAGCTGGGTGACTTTCAGCCAGTCAATCTCTTTCAGCCCAATCCACCTCACAATGTTGTTGTTGTGAGGAAAATAGGAGGCAGGAGGATTAGGTATGTTCACCACCTTGAGTTGACCAGAATATATAAAAGAAGGTGAGATGATGATGATGATAAC